TTTACTACTACCGATTTTGAGCAAAGCACTGCAGAGGCATCCACCACGCTCATTCCAACGTGCACAGTGAATCAGGCTTCAGGCACCATAATTGACGAAATTATGCATTATGAAGAAAGTCTAAGACTTGAAAAACCAAATTCATCACAAATTCTCGATAACAATGTTCGTGACCTGTCTGTTGCGCTTGTAGTGGAGGAGGATCTAGCAACTCCACATCTCATCTTCTCAAGCATTGCATTTGGCGAGGCCTCCCCTGTTGTAACTAATCCGTCTATCCTCACTTCTGGAGTTGGTACCAATGGTGACTTGGACAAGACTCCGCAAACCACTTACACTGAACAAAGATGTGTGGAGACACACCTAACTCAAGGATATTGCAATGCAGATGAGGACGGTGTGACATCTGAAAAAGTTCTGCCCAAACAACGGCCATGGGAGCCATGTAATCTCGTCGAGGTGGATAATTTGATTGAAAAAATTGCAAACAACGCTGCCTTAATTAACGACTTCGTTTTGTCAAGCTATGACAATGATTTGATCGACGGTATGCTGAAGGACTGTTTGAACAAAAGTCAACTAGAAGCCGCCTCCAATGTTGCAATCATAGAGGATCCAGCTTCTCAAATGTTGTACAAGCTTGAGTGTACCGGAATAGTATAACCAAACCTCAAGGATAGGGGCTGGAAAAATGGCCCCTCTCACGCCTTCTTATATGAAATACAGCTTTCGGAGAACTAAGCAATAATAATGCTGTACCCAAATCTTGCTTTATTAAGGTAAAACTGTTAAAAATTGGATAATGCGTACAATGTAAACGCACTTTGCAATAGCGATCACACCTCAATTACCAAGGAAAAGGGGCTTTTTCACGAAGTAGTCGAGAGCCGTAGCGATTCCACTCGGCAGGAGTAAGCCAGAGGTCTGAGATTGAGTCTGTGCTAAGCATAAGTTTGGCTCCTTGCCAAGCGAGATCTGAGACACCGCGAGTTCTAGTCAGCACTTCGACACTCGTGCCATCACCCACGAGATTTTGTAGTTCACGAGTGAGCCACCTAGAGAGGAGAAAGCCTCCGAGACCGGTGGCCCCACCACCAACAAGGAGGATGCATCCGAACAGACGTTGACGCAGTTGATCACCCTTAGTATCGGCAACACCGTCGGCTCCCAGTGCTTCTGAATCAAATGTCGAAGCAGAGGCAGCAGCTGCAGCTGCGTGTCGGATAGACCATAAAACCGCCTCAGCTAGGTCTTTGAAAGAGGAGGCCTTCTACTTAACCGGAGACAACGATGCGAAAGATGTGTTACAGGTTATAAGAAATAGTGGCATTAAAACAAGTTTAAGAATCTGCAGTTTTAAAACCACAGGATAGTTACAGCTAAATTTGACAATTTTTAAGCGTTCGAGTGGCCGACATGAAGTTAGAGTTTGGGATAAAAGTGAAAAGGTTGTAATTGACTACCTAGTTCCAGGTCGCAGAATTTTGCACCGGAAATGAAACCTCCAAATTCTGACACCATGTTTCAAAGATTAAGGAAAAATACCACATACTCTGAAAGTCAATGACACTAGTTCCCGTGAGTTAACAAATGCATCTATCGAAAGCATGGAAATGATGCGGATAGGAAAGCCCTCCCAAATTGTAAATAAATATTCAGCTGCAGTCATTGAGCATAAACAATTGACTTATAAAATGTGTTTTGAGTTCCAAATCAAACATTTGAATGAGAAAATGCACAAGAAAATAGAAGAGGAAAAGGGATCGAATAGTCAGCCCAAATATAAAAGTCAAGCTCACCGAAACCTTCTGATTTTTGAGCTCAAAGGCGCCCTCATCACCTCGATTAGGAACAAAATCACCCTGCAATTTCCGCCTCTTTTCGCGCATAGTCATGGCACTGTAGATTTCGTCAAAGGGGTCATCCGGCTCTGGCGCATCAATTCCTGGTATTTGATACTCCGGCAGCAAGCGACCGTCTGTAATGAAGAAGTAGGGTGCTAAATGCGCGCCAAGAACGGTTGTATTGGATAAAGTGACTTCATGTCTAGGAGAAATTTTGATGGTTATCTCCTCTGAGGCTATTGATTCCAACGACTCCGTCTGCATTCGCGCGATTATTGCACTGTCAGCGTCAAACATTGCATTGAAAAGGCGTCTCATATCATCGAGAGATCCGTGTTCTGCTGCCCTAAAAGAATTGAACATCGAATATGAAAAGCCATAAAACGGCAAAATGTGCACTACGGCGGGAAGATCAGGATAATAAACCACACCCTCCTCTTAGTGTTAAGGTCAGAAAATTTGCATATTATAATCAAACCCTTGTGCAAATTACATACTGCATTAGCTCCGCGAGTTCATTTCCACATCCGGCAGAGCTGTATAATGCCGTACGAAGAGCTTGAAGACAACTACTAGCGCCAACGGGCAATTTAACGCGTACATCAGGAAGGGAAATGCCCTCATCAACACAGGAAATGGAAGTCTTTTGAAAGCCCAAGTCGATAACACAAGCAGTAGGAAGCCCTACACCATAGGTAGCGCACACGCTGGCTTGCTGCACAACGACTCGAGAGAAGTGAAGACTCAGTAAGAGCATGTTTATTATCTGCCGCACCTCTCGACGGAAAAAGACGTCCTCGATCACGAGAATTACAGAATAGAGGTTAAATGAGTTCCTGGGAATAGCCAACTAGAACAGAAAAAAGCCACAATGTTATAAGCATAAAACAACGTCTATGACATCAAAGTGCAAGAAAAATCGCATCATTGACTTAAAAGGAACACCAAGCAATAAGAAATTCTGGTTAAAGGGGACAAAACATAATTCGCTTTGAACAAAAAACATCTAGATTAAAGAGCAAAAAATTTACTAATAATAGGAAACATGGAATTGATGCAAGTTAGGGTTAAGGCATGAAGCCGAAAAGATCACTCAAATATTTCCTTAACAATATAAAACACACATGCTTCTCCAAAGCATAAGTCCACATATCTTCCAGATTCTGCAAGTTGAGAGACGGGGTAAATGCCCTGTTAAAAGAACCAGACACAATTGGCCATTCCAGCTGATAGTCACAACCAACGCATTTATTAAGAGCTCTGAGAAAGGGTAGGAACGGAGGCCTAGGATCACCCAGAAAATATTTGGAATCAGTATCGACGGAATTCAAAATGTTGTAAAACTTATTTTCAATCACTAAGGAATCTGAGCGGGGGAAGAAACTGAAGACAGAACTTGACACGTCAATATCTTCTGAAGTAAAGTTTTGGGAGTTTAAAGAGGGAATCCGAACAGGGCCAGCGTTTTTACACGCACGAGCAATACAATGGAAAAAGCACTTTGGCTCCTCATCGGAAGCAAGACCGATGCGTAAAACTGTGGAGCCAGGCTGGATAATAACTGTTTTAGACGATATCTTCTGCAGCTTTGTCATCCTCGATCATCTCGTAACTTGAGAACCTTGACCTGCGCAAACAATTGGATGATTTACGTAAAATTAAAGGTCAAATGTTTGAAATGCTCTAGCATAAATGCGCACTTGCTTTTACCAAAAAAATCGACATCAAAGAGGAAATGACAAAATATGATAGCCTTAAAAGGGGCACATTATTTGTTCACCAAAGACCTGGCAACGTTTATCATAATAAACAAACGGGGTTTTAGCCAAAAGTACTTGCTGTTTTGTTTGCATTTGTAGTCACAGGAATAAGACAGCCCGTAGGATTAAAAGTAATTTGGCTATGTACATAGTGCGAGCAAGACTTAATGCCTTGGCCGTGTAGTCGGCTCCAATTACATTTTAGTTGAGGAATGCCTTTAGTTTGCGCAAAATGTTGTTACTTGGTGGTGCTATAAGATTCAGTAATCGATAACGCTACCTATAGTACAAACATGGTGCTGTAGCATCCCGAGACTTCCTAATCACTATAAGAGATCAGTAAAAGCTACAGGCTGGAAATAGTCCGAAGGCCTGCCCACGTGTACAAGGGCCAGACACATCCTAAAGTGATCGCTAAACGTCTTGTGGTCACACAAACAAAGCATAACATGCCCCTCTCTTCTTTTCAGTGACGTCCTCAACATTCCCCTTGGTACACCTCCCGCTCTAGCCATTATAACATATTCGGTACTATATGAAATGACCCACGAGAAAACTGCACCAGTCTACAGACTGAACGAGAGAGAGGAACCGTACTTGGTCTCCTCAGCAGCTTCAACTGGATCTGGAGTTGCGTTCGGTCTGACAACCACATTCGAGGCCGCATTTACATGTTGACCATCAATTGCTTCCAAGATTAGACGGTGGAACCCCGGATGAGCAACGTTCTCGTATGTAAGGAGAACCGTAGTGTCATTTCTGACACCTAAACACAAGTTTTGTATGGGAAATCGCGACACGAAACTTGTCCAGATGGTTCATGTCAGTATCGCTTCGGTTGTTAACAGCTCGTCTGTGGAACGCGGGAATAAGGCGAAACCAAATGTACTGGTCAGTCTGAATCCCTTCATTGTGAAGGATTCAGGAACTCTCCGTCGCCAAGGTAAATGCGCCTTATTCAATTCACGTCCTCTTTTCATCTGTATCTTCATCTATTGCCAAATCTCCAACGTCACATAATCAAAGCATTACAGTTGCATGTCATAATTATTCGAGTCCCTTTAATTTTATTGTGATGATGTAATGGGAAATGAATATTAGGATTAATTTCTGATATGATCAGTGTAATACTTTGTTCCTGGGACCACACGATATCTGGTCCTTATACGCGTTGTATGACTTCCAAAAGAACTCCAGGCGTAGTCCCTTTTCTCCCCGTTAAATCCTATATTCATCTCAACGCCATATCTCCCTTTAGCTGGAGGGAAGTCTCGGAATTGCACAATCTTCGCTGTTGTAATAGATCGAGGACAGACCCTCATATCCCAGTTGAAGTATCGAGGACCACTTTAACCCATTTTTCCCATAGCCAAAACTCAGATTTAGATCCAATAATACCTTCTACCTTATTACCTTATAACACTCATTCTTTGTAACTGAGGTATACCTGTTGCAACAGATGTTCATTTCCGGCCAATGATCAGTCCATAAGTCATCCCTTGCATTTCATTATTACACTTTGTAGAGTACACATCCTCCGGCACGTTCGGTCTGTTCAATATTTAAGTAGTCAAAAGAAACCGTCATAGGAAGACCGACATCCAAAACTATTGTAACCTTTGTTCTGTGAGACTATGAAATCGTGAGCCTCGTACCGCTTCACATGAATCGTGGTGTCATGCCATTTGAGGGCACATCAAGGTGAAGAACAGGTCCCTCCTACGATCATATTTTAAGCACTTTGCAATCTAAGATGGCACTGTAGTGGCATTTAATTTTGTATAATGTCTTAGCGACCAACTGTCTTACACATTTCAGGTGACAAGGAACTTATACTGAATAACGTTTCAATAGCGGCTGCGTTTAGCTTTAGTCTTCAGGCTGCTTGTTAAACAAATGCTGACCCATTTATAGTCCGAATATGAAGAAGAGGGTCAATTTCACTTCTTCAGAGACGTACAAATGAAACAGTCAGTTAATCGTTGTGGTAATTTTAACAACGCGATGACAAAACCCATCCACCGAGTGCAACATTTTGGGATAGAGTAGGCGACTTTGCGATGCGACAAAATTGCAATTAGCCTAAGATTACAGACCGATTCACATGATATCTTTAAATAAGCTCCAAAATGTGTGCACATTATGCTAGCGCAGCAGAATAATCCTCACGATTTAAATCCAAAATACAACCACCAATCATAGAATCTGACTCATAATAACCCTTCCGACAAATTCGTGATCATTTATTTTGTGCAGGACTAACAGCCAACTATGGTGGGGAGGTATTGCACAGGAATGGCTTCAATAAAGCACCTTAGCTCAAAAAAAACCGCATCAAAAAAGTCAAAGGCGATTCCCAAGATTGTCGATGCAGGACAGTTGCCTGTCACAATGCACCAAGGATGTGCCTACTTGCCAGTCAGTGATCGCACCAAAAACTGAACTCCAACAAAGTTCGATCTCATCAACTTTACTAGTCCAAAGGCAATGCAACTTTAAGTAGCTATCATTCAATGAAAGCCTACAACTGATAAACTGCAGAGGGGTAGATGTAGCTCACGTACTGCAAAACAGTAAAGAACACAAAAGACTGCAAAAATAATTGTTTTCAAGTATAATGTCGATTGAAAAGATTTACGAAAATTAAACGAGAAGGGGATAGGCAAGGGAAAACCTTCAAACGGCCGAGCAATAAAGAATGTTTTCAATGGGAAGAATGTGTACAGCATACTAACCAAATGCGCTGGAAATATCGGTATGAACACACAAAAAAGCACACAAAGGCCACAGAAAAAAGAACCAGAAACAAAATCTACAAAAATTCAACCAATTATATTCTACAAAGCGATTAAAATGTATGAAAAAGACTAATGGGCAGAAAAACAAACGACAAAAATTATATAAATTAAACATTAAAAAACGTTAAAAACACTGACACATTGTCTAGCGTTACCTGAGCAATAAAACCTATGCAAATAAGACTTTATTAAGAAACAAGCAAAAACGGAATGAAATAGTTTTGTAAATTGACGTCAGACCGACTGCTGGAGGGAGCGGCAAAGATT